TAAATAAGCCAACGACAGAATACCTCTAATGCAACAACCATAAAGTTACTTATTCTTATAAATCCTTCGGTCATTTCCTATATATGGGGGTGAGTCAATAGAAACCAAGCAAATTATTTTTATTGAATTTTTTTAAAACTTCACACACCAATAACTTAATAAAAACTTGATCAAATTTAATAAAAATTTTTTACACAAATTCTATAAAGTTTGTAGAATTTATTTAAAAAAATTTTAAGTTTTTGTTTAGTTATTGTTGTTTAAAGTTTAAAAAAAATTTACTTAGAAAAAATTTCTATTGACTCAACTCCATATATAGAACCGACATCGACCACCCTTAATCGACTAATGCCAAATCAATCACTAAAATTAAATAGTTTATTGATGAGTCGCATTTGAACGTATGGATACATTAAATCTAGAAGTAGATTAAAAGCTTTATGCGTAAAAAGAATCAATGGCCACTACATTAGGAGGAATTTTTCGGGTATTTAGTTTTTCTTTATTTCTGTTATCGATTTATATAAATTTTTGTCTTTACATACGTACATTTTGAATGCAAGTAATCTAATTTTATTTTTTTTGATCAATTAAGTTCGTTCATTTAACGTTTTAAGCAAAAATGTTTACCACGTTTAGTACCAAAAAATTTACCAAAAGAAAATTAAATGGTGTGGTGTGGTCATGGTAATCAGATTTTTTCTTAACTTGAAGTGTATAGTCATACTGTAACCAGATTTAAGACAGATGACTAGGCAATTTTTCAAGTTGTGTCGTAAAATTTGAAGAGGAATCTCTTAATGATCTACTTGTTTAGCTATTATGGGACAACCGAGTTTAATCAAATTGGTGTAACTATAACGATAGTGCATTAAAACGTGGCTCTGTGTACCCCTGAAAGTTGAACATATTTGGCTTTCTTTCGTTTCGCGAATTTTTACTCGTAATTAACTGGAAGAATGTTTACATTGTTTACTCAATCTAATTTAATTCTTCTGGTAATAGGATTATTTTCTGTATTATTTATTATTTACGGCAACATAAAATGGAGAGCATCATTTTATGCAGCAAAGAATCGAAAAGAATTCTTGGATTCTATCAGATCTGATTCGATGAAAAATTCTCTTTTGATACTTGGATTTTTTCATCCGTACTGGTAAGCATTTTACAAACAGTTAAGTATTGAAGTGGTTACTACTACATTGTGTTAATTGTTTGCATGTTGATTTAAACTAAAATATAGTAATGCAGGTGGTGGTGGTGAACGTGTTCTTTGGACTACAATCCATACTATTCAAAAAAATTATTCGCATGTAATGTGTGTTGTGTATACCGGCGATACAGATGTAACGAGAGAAGAAATCTTAGAAAAAGTTAAGGTGATTAAAATTTTACACTCATAAAAATATATTATTCCTTTTTTAATTCTTTAATAATTAAATTTGGCTATGATTAGACACGACTCGGTATCGAACTTAATCCTGACACCATAGCCTTTGTATTCCTGAATAATCGTAAATGGGTAGAGGATAGTCGGTAAATAAAATTAAAGCTTAAAATAAAAGCCTTTGCTCCAAAATTCAGAAAGAAAGTCTACTTTGTATTAATGATATTGTTAATTTACTTTAGATACCCAAGATTTACTTTATTGGGTCAGAGCTTTGGTTCCATAATTCTTGGATTCGAAGCTTTGAAGAAATTAACGCCAGATATTTATTTTGGTATGAGTTTGGGGTCCATCAAAAATCCTGACAAATTATCTCAATTTTGTTTGGATTTTGCTGTAGATCCCTTTATTTTACCGTCTTTTAAAGAAAAACATATATATATTGACATGTACCAGAATATATCTAGATACAATGGGTTATGCGTTTACGTACCCTCTAGCAAAAAGGATCTTTGGATGCAAGGTTGCCGCTTACGTACATTATCCAACTATAAGGTGTGTAATGTTTAGATGGCTTATTTATAACTGATGTTTTAAAACTCTTAAAATACCTATTAAGCTGTTGATTTATTATTAGTTCAGACATGCTTAACAAAGTACAGGAGCGACGTCCAGGATTCAATAACGATAATTTAATTACTCAAAGTCGTGTGTTTAGTACTGGCAAAATATGGTAATTTGATTATATGTGTTGTACTTGAAGCATCCATTTATTTGGAGTTATTACTTAGGATATCTAATATTTAATGCATGAGGATCTAAATTCAGGGGCTTAATTTCAGTCAAATGCAACTTCAGACATCTGATGTAACAACTTCAGATAAATGACTACTTTAGATATAGCATGTTGTTCTCAGGATTAATTGCATTGAATGTTTCATTTTTGCATCCAGGTACTATAGAATTTTCGCATATCTTTACTCACTTGTAGGATCATTCGCTGATATAGTAATGGTCAACTCAAGTTGGACTAAGGATCATATTGATCAACTTTGGGGTGTGAACAGCAAGATAGTTTATCCACCATGTGACACTACAGCTCTATCAAAACTTCCTTTAGATGGAAGACATAGAATTATTGTTAGTGTCGCACAGTTTAGGTAGGATTTTTTATCTTTTTTTTTTTATAATAATTTCATTGTAATTGATTATCATTAGTGTTTGAAAAGGCCTGAAAAAGATCATCTGCTTCAACTTCAATCATTACATCGATTGCTATTGGATCATCCTAATCTCCGGAAAGGTAGGGAAAAAGTTGAACTTGTGCTAATAGGAAGTTCTCGTAACGCAGATGATGATGCTAGGATTGCTAAATTGAAAGAAAAATGCAAAGATCTGGATATTGTGGTATATGTTTACTTTATATTATTATTATTATTATTATTATTATTATGATTTTAATAGGAGTAATTAATGTAGGATAATGTGAAATTTGAAATCAACGCCAGTTTCCAAGTTCTTGTAGATTGGCTCTCAAAAGCTAAAGTTGGAATACACACTATGTGGAATGAACATTTTGGAATTGGCGTGGTCGAGTATATGGTAAGGTTGTCTCAACATCTAATGATTTTATATATGCTGGAATAAATAAATTAATTTTAATAGGCTGCTGGAATAATCACTGTTGCTCACAATTCTGGTGGTCCTAAGATGGACATTGTCATTTCATATAATGGTCAAAAAACAGGTAATGGTATTTGTATATCTTCATTCTCAAAAACTTAAATTTATAAGATCTTATTTCATATTAGGATTTCTCGCCAATGATCCTGAAACATTTGCAACCGAATTATTCAATGTATTTTCTTTGCCAGATGATGAATTTAAAAATATACAAATTAACGCCAGAGAACATGCAATTATACATTTTTCTGAACATGTGTTCCAGGACGCGATTTTGAAATTATTTGAACCAATATTTAGATTAAATAAGTAAATTAAAATATAATATAGATGGATTTTTGTCTTTAACTAATTTATATTACGATTAATAAAATTAACGCTACATAGTAGTGAATTTTCGAAGACAATGTTCATATTGATTATTGAAAAAAAATTTTATTTATATATTTATGGTGATTGTTCTTTTAGTTCATCTAGCTCTTTTTTTAAACTCTCAAGATTTTTCAATACTTGAAATAATTCTGTTTTTGCCTTTTCTAAGTTTGGCTGATGATAAATTTATAAGCATTTCTGACTAAAGAAATCTAATCAAATGATTTTTTGAACCAATTACAAGGTTAATTACCTGTAATATATGAATTCCATGTTGAGTAGCCACGATTAATTCCTCAACACTATCTTGATTTAAATCTAAATTTGTAATTTGATAAATTGGATGACTAAATGATCTTTGCCATATTAATTTGAAAGTCAATACATTGTGATCATCAATGTCTAATTGAAAAAGTGTTTAACATTAATTGAATTCGTGTTAAGCAAAAAAATTTACGTATTATTTTAGAGTATATCAACCTTGTTTGTAAACAAGTAATTCTCTTCCATATGTACCAACAAGAATTTCATTTTTTCCATCCCAATCAACATCCATTATATTAGAACAAAGAACGCTATCATACTGAGAGCATTCTTTTAAGTATACTGGGCGGTTCAAAGCTAATTTATCAACATTGCTACAGAAAGTAAAAATGTACCATATGAATATTGTATTTACCAAATAAGCAAACACAATTACCATTATAGCAATTTAAATTAAACCAATAAATTATTGCTTGTTCGACAGCGCAAGTGACTAGCATATGAATATCACCCGGACTGTCTGTGGATATATGACATAACATAATGTTAGACAATGAATAGGAAATAAAATTTTTCATCATATCTATTGATGCTAACTTTTACTTGAAGATGAAGAGAATACTGATATAGAAGTTATTGGACTAAAAAGCACAACAAAAGCTGGTTCATCAATTGGGACTATCAATATAAATTATTTAGTAAACGTTCATTTCATTAAAAAAGAATATATGTATATATTTTACCAAAATCTCCAGCTGAGATATCAAACTTCATGATTGAAACGTATAATCTTCCATTTTGACATCCCGCAGCCACTATTTTCAAATTTCCAATTTCTCGGATTTCTAAAGATAGTATACTTTAAAATACATGAATAAAATTAGTAAATGAAATTACCACAAACTATTATTTCCTTTTTGATCTAACTTACTTTAAGCTTGATTCAGACAATAACGCAAGCAAAGGAAAATGAGAACGAACGGATTCGTCTTCCCATTTATTTGTAGATTTATTCTTTTTTTTTATAATTGAATTTGTGGTAAATATCGATAATAAAAGGAAGAAAGCAAAGTATTTTAATCTTACTTTTAAATAGAGATGAACACCTCCATCGTTTCCACATAAAAGAAGACACGTATTCGGTTTCCCATTAGTATTTATTCCGGTATGAAAAAGTTGCATTGGTGTAAAAGGAATCCTAATAACTTGACATTGCTCTATATTATTAAATTATTAAATGATTCTTATTATCCTCGAACAATTCTTAAATATCCCATCTAATCATCAAACTATCATTTTAGATACCCGCAATTCTAAATATTGCTTCTTCGATATACATTTGAGATGCATCATCCAACGAATAAATCCGGAGTGTAAAGTTGTGTTGACCATCATCTTCGGTCTATGATGAATGTTAAAGAGTAATTAAGGTAACAAGGATTTATATCTAAACCCGTGTGCATTATTAGAAAATACTTGCATGAACTGTCGTCAAGGCAAAAATTAGATTTGATTGATCAGAAGAAAATACATCCATTGAAACTATTTCTCCTATGGTAATAGCGAACCGTATCGTGATAAATACGTGGTCAAAAAATAAAAGTACATAAACAATTTCAACAAATTACCAATGTCTTGATTTAAAGGAAGTTCAACAGTATTCCAATAACCCATAGCAGAAACGAAACATGTTATACCATAGAACGAACTTACAAATAGGTGTTTTATCGCTTCTATATACAGTGGCATCCGATATGAAAAATTTAAGAAATATCCAATATATAATAAATTACAGAAATTTTAAGTAACGAACTTGATTTGTTTTGATTTCGAGGTTTATGCGAAATGTCTTGTGGAAAGGACCTTAAAACATTTGATGGAAATTCAGGGTCGACCGGAAGGCCGCTTTCCATTGAACTCTCAAACAACGCCAACCCATATATATTCCTTATCAATTAATATATAGTTATTAGATAATCCAAATTTTCATCTCTTCAAAATATAATCAATAAAAGTTATTACGTTCTTCCTCCAGAAGAAAAACGATAATAATGACATTCAGTAAATAATTGAGACTCCATATTATTTTTGAATACTAGTCTCCAAATTCTGTATCTTATACGTATAAATGTCACTATTTATATCCAAATCCTGTGAATTAGATTATCTGGCTTCTCTATTGAATTTTAGAACTGTTAGCAATTTTTGATTCGAACCATAATCGCTGATTAACGTTAATGTGACAGCTAAAACAGCAAATCCAGCGTTACTAATACGTAACATTAGATGCAGTCACATGATCCTCCCATCTATCTGATGTAGCATTCGTATTTTTTTCATAAAAGAAAACTAGATTTCAATTATATAAATTTCATAGCGATAGGATCAAAATTTAAATTTTTTTTTTTTAATACATCACGCTGGTTATATCAACATTCTCCAAAAACAGAGAAATCAGATGTAGGTTTAACCAAAAGAATTGTCATATTAAGTATATAGATTCAAAAATTTTAAAAATAACCAGCATGACGTGTATTATTTATATAAAATTATTATTGTTTATATATAAATTTTATATAACAATTACTGTATATTAAATTACTACATATATAGTAGGATTAATACAGTATTATATACTGTATATTTTTAATACATTAGTTTTAAGTAGAAATTTATAGATTTAAGATAATGTTAAAGGTTTAAATTTGAGGTTTTTGAAAAGAGTATTTCTAATTTTCACCGGAAAAAAGGTCACCGGGATACTATACCTCAAAAACATATTAGCTAACATACCACATGGATATTAAGTAAAATGTTTTTTTTTTAATATTAATGATGAGGCCATGCCTCTATCTTTATTGAATATTTAATTGAGATTATTACATAAAGCACTAATCTACTTTTAAATATTATACAGTTATAAGAAGAATAGAGACTCAGACTAGTTTATCTGCAACCTAAACCAACTGGAGTGGTCAAGGCTCACCTAGATTTGGGTATTAGTAATAATATAAGAAAGATTAGTTTGGTATTTGATCCAATGTATATATCAAGAATTTATTTTGAAGCTAATAGTAATAAAAGGAAGAGGTTGGGATGTATGCAAAGAAGGATTAGAAGGTAGATTATGAGTAGAAAAATGAGCTATTGATCTTGAAATACAGTAGAGAATTCAGATTTTATAATAAACTTGTTGATTAAGGTAAAGTAGAAATTTTATAACAAGTGTTGTAATTATTTTTTGGATTGATAAGTTTGAAACAGAGGTGATAATTTCATTTAGCACTAGGCTTAATAAAGTTAAGAAGACTGAAGATGTATTTAGTATACTGTATATAGTTATACAGTATAGTTGTTTAATCTGGTTGTGTAAGTTGGTTATAATGTCATGAGTATAGGGTTGAAGGCATGAGAAAATTTTCAGGCATGTCTCAAAATTTTTTATGTGCCAACTTTTATATATCTAAATTTTTTGAAAAAGAGCATGCTTAGGGGTATATTTAGAAGGCATGCTCCATGCCTCCAACTTTACATGAGTAGTGTTGAGTATAATTGTATTAAAAATATGTTGTAATGAATCATCAATAAGCTTGTATAGTAACTGATTAGATAGACAGATTATCTAGTAAAGATGAGAGCTGATATAATGATATTGATAATAATTAGGCAAATATAAATAATATTATTTGTGTAAATATGTGAAGAAGGAAGATTATCTAATAAAATTTTAATCCTAAAGGATTTAAGAGCAGAAGATTGAAAACTGTATAAAAAAGTTAGAAATTTTTTAATTGTTGTTGATATATAACCAGGTAGCTTGTCAATTAATTTGGTTAAAAATTTTGTTTATTTTTGAAAATGGTTTTGTATTATCCAAAGTATATAGATATAAGTATGACATATTATATGAATACTGCAGCAGATAGATAATTCTAAAAGAAAGTTCTCAAAAGTTAAGGGTAGAGTACATGTAGATTATTTGTCATATGATCTGCACAGTAAATT